GAAACTAGATTAATAAGCCCATTAAGAGTGATAGGGCTGCCACAAAGAAGAGGGGTTCAAATTATTTTCCAAAGCACCAGAAGGCAAGACAAGAAACAATGGATGGAAACTAATCAAGGAGAGAAGCAAGCTGGAATTAAGGATAAACTTTCTAATAGGACAATTAACTGATGGAACAGCTTGCCTCTAGAAGTTGTAGGTGCTTCATCACTGGAGGTTTTTATGGAAAGACTAGACTGTCACCAGTCTTGAAATGGTATAGGGTTGGACTAGAAGACCCCCAAGGTCCCTTCCAGCTCTATTCTGTTTGATGACAAAGAAGCAGAACAAGAAGCAGAACAAGAAGCAATGGATGGAAACTAATCAAGGAGAGAAGCAACCTAGAACTAAGGAGAAATTTCCTGACAGTCAGAACAATGAATCAGTGGAACTCCTTGCCTCCAGAAGTTTTGAATGCTCCAACACTGGAGGTTTTTAAGAAGAGATCAGACAGCCATTTGTCTGAAATGGTGTAGGGTTTCCTGCATGAGCAGTGGGTTAGACTAGTGGATCTCCAAGGTCCCTTCCAACTCTATTATTCTGACAACACACTCACATTCTCATTTTTTCTAACCTTATGTTAATTTAATCTAATATCCATAACACTCAATTTTCCAACTCTTTACAAAAATGGGCATGTCTTTTGACACTCAATTCTCATTTTTTTCTGGGCATTTTTCAAAAATTGCTGTTTTCCCACTGAATTTTCCTAATTAAAAAAAAAAGTAATATGTGCACAAATGCAAGAAAAGATCATCTTTGCACTTTTTAAAGTGGCACATTTAAATAACATGGACATTTATAACTGTGCTTAATTCATCCATGGAATTTGGAAAGTATGCATGATGCTACTTTTTATAGTTCGTTACATCAACGTTCATAATATCAGCCTTCCATATGTATGAAAACAGATTAGTCCTTCCTTTTGTGATGATGATGATGCTAATTGTTTCCTTTTAAAGTATAAAAAAAACAAGTTAAAATATTAGTAGTAGGAAATTAAAAATTAGGAAGCATCAACATTTGATGTCTGCTATGTGGTGAACTAAAAGTCACTCGTAGACAATAGGGCAGAATGGAGACAGAAGATGAACATTGTTCAATAGAATATTTCTTGGGGAAACAATAAAAAAACATTTTGATTTTAAGTGTCAGCTTTGGAAGCCATATTTTATTAAATGCTTCCACGCTGCCACATCTTGGTGCCTGGGAATTTGAGAGGGGGGATTTCATAGAGAGGTGGAAGTTTAGACATAACAACATTCTTCTCATAAAGTCAAGGACATGTTACCCTCCACTTGGTAAGGAGTGTCTGGAAGAATGTCTCCAGTTGGGATGATGTTAGATTGGACCATGGGATGGACTGGTGGGTGCAGGGGATGGGTTTTGATTTTCAGTTGGGAAGGTAAAACCCGGAACTCTCAGATTTGGGTTCTCCCAGATGTGCCAATACGACTTCTCTAATAAATTCTTACTTGGATGAACTTTGTTTCTGAGTGCTGAATGAGAATGGGGAGTTTCATTGGAATGCTGACATTAAGTTTAACAACATCAAATACATCTTTAACTTAACCTGAATATGTTCAAAGTATAAGGCCTCTGTTACATAACACTATAAGCATTCCCTTTGGGGTTCCATGTGATGTTGGACTTTCTCAATTGCTGTCACTATCCATCAACCCCAAATATATTGCCGCCATCATTATTTTCCCTTGAACTCAGAACATATGTTTATCTAACAGGTTTCCTTGTTCAAGTAAGCCCAGTCAGTCACACAAGTGGAGAAAGGAGAGATCTGAAACATTCCACTAGCAAAGGCATTCAGCTTTGCTACACTATTATACAGTCCTGTGCAATCTTGCACAGCAAGACCCGAGTAATATTGCTTTCTCTATAATTGCCAAATACCACAATTAACTAGAGAGAACTAATTGCTGTTTCTCTTGCAAGTTGCCCATCTGTAGCGTGGGCTTTAATTCTGGCTTAAATTGCTATTGGCCTAGAGACACAAGCTATAGCCAGCTGAGTGTACAGATTCAGCTACATCTGTCAGAGTTCTAATCAACACTTTCAGGAGCTAGCTTTCTAGGCTTAGATAAGCCCAAGACATTCTTTGGAGGAAAAAAAAAGTGCAGTCAATAGAATAACAGGATTGGAAGGGACTTTGGAGGTCTTCTAGTCCAACCTTCTCAAACAGAAGACGATATACCAATTTCAGTCCAATGGTTGTCCAATCTCTTCTTGAAAAACTCCAGTGTGGAGCATCCCATAACTTCTAAAGTCAAGCCATTCCACTGGTTAATTGTTCTCATTGTCAGGAAATTTCTCCTTAGTTCTAGCTTGGTTCTCTCCTTGATTATTTCCCATCCATGCCTGCCTTTTATTTTGCCTTATAATGCTTTGGAAAATAGTTTGACCTCCAGTTCTCTGCGGCAGTCTCTCAAATATTGGTGTACGCTCTCATGTCATTATAAGTTATGTAAGTTTGAGACATCCCTCCAATTAACTTTCTGGTTTTATTCCTTGAATCTGTCCAACCTTTACAAAACAGTTAATAATAAAAGTGTAAATGAGAAGCAATGCAACAGTAGAATACACCATTGCTAGCCTTGTGAGGCAGTCCAGATGAGAAACACAACCAGGAATATATTTATTTTAAGGCTACGTTCACATCTGAAAGTGCCTCTCCCGTCTTTCACATTTACTTTCCGGGAAACTAGGGAGGGTCACTTCTGACATGCTTTCACCATTCCCCTTCCTTCAGATTCAAATTTCATTTATTAGAATATTGTCTAGGCTGTGGCTCTCCTACCTGTATCTTAAGATCATTCCTGCCGTTACACCAATAGGTATCAACCTGTACTTCTGACAGGATGTAATCGATGGATCTGTAGTCTTCCAGTGTGGATGAATGAATGGGTAAAGACAAATCTTTCCAGACTGGATCCTGCAAAGACAAATTTTCCCAGAGTTCTTCCAATTTCTAGAATCTTTCTTCTTCCAGATTACTTGCCCTAATCACAATGGTGGGAGTAGGGTACCTTGGCTACATTGGCATGGGATCCTTTAAGAATTATGTGGATCAATTAATAGCAATGGCACTTAGACTTACATACCACTTCATAGTGCTTTACAGAATCAGCCTATTGCCCCCCAACAATCTGGGTGGCAATTTACCCACCTCTGAAGGACAGAAGGCTGAGTGATCTGTAGGGGGCATGCATAACGTCCTATGACGTGCCTAACGTCCCTGTCCTATTGTTTCTTTTATTTTTCTTATATGTACCCATTTCATGTATTCATAACTATGTATATATTTATACCTATTATCTTGTAAGCAATTGACAAATCAAATCAAATAAATCAAATAAATAAATAAAAATAAATAAACCTTGAGCTTGGTGAGATTTGAACTGCCAAATTGCAGGTAGCCAGTAGGCACCTGAAGTACCTTGCAGTATTGCATTCTAACTACTGCGCCACCATGGCTCTTAAATAATTTAATTTAATTAAATAATTCTTTTATTTATTTATTCTTTTTGTTTTCTAAATGGAGCATCGTGGCCTTGATTCTGCAGCATAATATTTGCTTTGGTATTTAGAGATTTGGGCATTTTGCTCCTAAGTAAATGCATTCGATATCTAGAGATTTCACTTGCTACAAATATCTTCCTTCTACTTTTGTGAATCTCCAGTTTTGCATTGGCTTCACACAATTACTGCCTTTGCTCATGCTCTGCCCGAAATCAAAGGATAAAAGATAATAAAAAAAAAACCAAGCAAGAAATTCTATCAATATACAAGGGGGGGTGGGGAATGAATGAAAAATGGGGAAAAAATGGACCTACAATATCTCTACCGTCTTTAGAAAAACTGATTTTTAACTCCCCCCAATGCATTTAAAGGATTTGCTTGGGTGCTGCTTATTTAGCACTGACAGAAAATTGCCACAGTGTGGATAATCACCCAATACAATGAAACTCATATAGTGCAAAAATTACAGAAGCATCCAGGGAAATCTTGCTTTGACTAGGGCGAGCAATCCAATAGTTTAAGGAGAGAGAAAGATATTGAAAATTTGCAGTAACTCAGTTAATTAACAGCTTGGCAGACCAGCTGCGTAGGCTATCAAATGTTGCTTGCTCTTGCGTCTTGCATTGGGAAATCCGTCAACATTTAATAAGCCAAACGAAGTACAACAAAGCATATTTGTTCAATTTGTTGATTTTTTTAAAAAAAGCATATGGACCAAGATTAGCAACAATCACCTGCGATTACTACTGAAACCTGCAATTTTTAAATTCCAGGAGGCACTAGGAAATGTGACCACATGTAACTTCACAACAGCAGTGATTTGCTTCACAACTATGGCAAGAAAAGTCATAAAATGGGGCAAATTGACTTAACTGTCCCATTTAGCAACAGAAATTCGGGACTCAGTTGCAGTCGTAAGTCTAGGACTACCTATATTTGATCCAGGCCTTTGGTTCATCCTGTTGTAGCTTTCCCTTTGGGGAATTATTACTGTATTCCATTCAATGATGACTGAAGATCATATCCAAAAATATTTAGAATGGAATAGAATAGGATAGAATAGAATAGAATAGAATAGAATAGAATAGAATAGAATAGAATAGAATAGAATAGAATAGAATAGAATAGAATAGAATTCTACATTGGCCAAGAGTGATTGGACACACAAGGAATTTGTCTTGGTGCAAATACTCTCAGTGTACATAAAAGAAAAGATACATTCGTCAAGAATCAAGAATCATAAGGTAGAACACTTTATAATAGTCATAGGGGACAATAAGCAATCAAATCATACTAGGAAACAGTCAATATAAATCGTAAGGATACAAGTGACAAAGTTACAGTCATACAGTCACAAGTGGGAGGGGATGGGTGATAAGGAGTGATGAGAAGGTTAATAGTAATAGTGGTGCAGACTTTGTAAATAGTTTGACAGTGTTGAGGGAATTATTTGTTTAGCAGAGTGATGGCGTTTGGGAAAAAACTGTTCTTGTGTCTAGTTGTTCTGGGGTGCAGTGCTCTATAGTATCATTTTGAGGGAAGGAGTTGAAACAGTTCATGTCCCGGATGTGAGGGGTCTGTAATTTTTTTCACTTTTTGACTCCTGCAGTATACAGATCCTCCATGGAAGGCAGGTTGGTAACAATTGTTTTTTCTACAGTTGTAATTATCCTCTGAAGTTTGTGTCTATCCTGTTGGGTTGCAGAACCAAATCAGAGAGTTATAGAAGTGCAGATGACAGACTCAGTAATTCCTCTGTAGAACAGAAACATTTATGATTCGGGAAACCTATATAAATTGCATTTAAGGGTAATGAGTTGGAGAGCAATAATCTCATCTTCTACTTACACAATTGTTATTAGTTATTGCACAGGTGAAGGAAGAACAACACTATAGGACTTTTATGATATCATAACTAGATGTTGTATATATTAATTTGTGTCCTTGAAATGTGTTTGCTTCTTTCTGTGGTAGCACAAAGCTACTTGTGATGTGCTAATGAGCTTGCATTTTTATATATTGGATTATTGAGATGACAGGGAATATGTCACTCAGCTCCTTGCTTTCACACAGTATCAAAACAAGGCTACACGGGAACACAAAATGCAAATGGCTCATTAGGATAGGAAAAAAAATATCTTTTTCATGACACCAAATTATGTTTGAACATTCAAATACTAATAATGAGAAAGGCAATTTAGGAAGCTGTGCAAAATAGCTACACCACCTCAAGCCAATGCAATGGTCTGGTTGGAGAGGCATCATGAAAATATGTAGCACTTGTTCAGGATCAAGTTGAATTTAATTCAAAATTTGTTATCTGTTAAAAACAGCTATTCCCTCCCCACCCCACTAACCTGTTTTCCAGCTCCGTTCTCCTGTGCAGGGCAATAAAAGAAGACCCAGCCAATCAGCTGGGACTCAGGAGACAGAGAATAGATGGGTGCGGGGCCTGTCAGAGGTGGTATTTGCCGGTTCTCCGAACTACTCAAAATTTCCACTACCGGTTCTCAAGAACTGGTCAGAACCTGCTGAGTACCACCTCTGCTTTCTTCTCCCTAATGTTTATATTCCAGAAGCACCCAATCTCCCTATGCAGGTATTTCATTACTCTCTCATAGCTAATCCTTACTGGTTTCCAATGTAGGTGAAGTTTTCTCTGATTCATGAGCTACCTAGAACTACTCTACTCCAGGAAGTTAGAAAATTTTGGTTTGTAAAATGGCTACATGCCTAGTTGTTAATTCAATCTCTAGCTAAGATTGAGAAAGGAGTTATGAAACTATGGAGAGGTTCTGTGTGTCAGTGCAGGCATCATGAAACTGATACCTCTGAATCTTTGAATTTATTTATTTAAATCCCACCTTTATTATTTTTATAAATTACTCAAGGTGGTGATGAACATACCTAATACTCCTTCCTCCTCCTATTTTACCCACAACAAACAACCCTGTGAGTTGGGTTGGGCTGAGAGAGAATGACTGGCACCAAGTCACCCACTTGGCTTTCATTGCTAAGGCAGGATTAGAACTCATAGTCTCCTGATGATTGGCCCCCAAGTCCCCCAATTGGATTGCATGCCTAAGGTGGGGCTAGAATTCATAGTGAGGGAAGTTACCCCTCCTAGAAGAATGAAATATTTTGAGAAATGTTTTAAAAAGCAGAATATTATGTTTCCCATAAAAGAGAAATAGAAATCTTAAGGGAGACAGAAACTCGACTCCAGTTCCCTGACCCCAGAAAATAATTGGTACCCATTAAGAAAGACTGGGTCATCCTATCTATAAGACAAAAGACCTTCAGCCTCAGTTTGATGGGATTTACCCTTACTCAAGATCCAAACTAGGACAAAGCCATTAAAACACAATAGGAATTGCCCAACATTCTTTCAGAACACAAGGCTCTTCATTACATCATCACCCAGTAAGCTTCAACCAAACCTCATAGCTCAGATGACCTCAGCTATGACCCCTGCACAGCCCCATGGGAGTCTGACAGCAACCAATAGAATACATGTTCTTGCACAGGAACAGGAAGCTCAAGTTCAAAGCCCAAGAGAAGGTATAAAAGCCACCCTCTCTCAACTCTATGTGGTCAGCTGCCCAGAACCACCAATGTGCTTCTGCTTCATCAATAAATTGACCCTCTTTCCAATCAGTCTCCAGCCTCATTTTGTCTCCAGTGCCTTTCTCCCAGCTTAGAACTGAACCAGATGGCTATTTCTTCCAACAACACCCTCCTGATTTCGAGACCAGCACCTTAACCACTAGACCAAACTGGAAATGTCATATAATGGTCTGACTTGATATGTGTTCTGACCTAGGCTTCCTTAGAAAGCATAAAACACAATCTTAATCCTGGCAAAACCTCTTTTATTTCCATGGCTGTGAATTATGTTCATTCATAGCCTACCAGGCTTCACAAAGAGTTTTTCAGGGGAATTTTTATAAACACACACCTTATCGCACTTGGAATGCTGCCAGAGAACTAATTGCCAGATGCAGGGCAAAGCCAAACTTGACACAGAGTCAAACAGAACTTTTCAAAGCTTGAACCGACCAGATGAACTAATTGCTTCCTGCAAAAGCTCACGTCCCATTCACTCCTCTTTTTTGTCCTATGGGAGGGGCCAATCATCTCCGAGGTGTGGCCTTACTCCTGAGTTGAGCCTGCTTTCTCAATTGTTCTTGTCTTCCGTTAGCTCTGTGCATGCACAGGCTGGGAACTGATTCCAGAAGCTCCCCTGCAGGCAGGGAGGCAGCTGCTGACTGCCAGCCAGCCCTGGCCCCATCTCTGCCTCTGATGCAGAGCCCTCCTCCGGGCCTTCCTCAGCCTCCAGAACTGGCCCAGGTTCCTCCCCAACCTCCTCCCTATTGTCCGACTCTACTGCCAGCTCTGTCAGCTGCCGGAGGACCACAGCATTTCCATGTTCCCAATGGCCTTCAACACTTTGGTGGAGTGGCAGTTCCGGAGCCTTCAGGGCTCTTGATGTGGTTTGACCATTTCTGAGGCTCCTCCCGATTTCACTTTGCACTTATGGGGCTGGCTCCCTGCGTCCTCATCAGGCCTGTTCACAGCCTGTATCATTAAGCAAATTCATTTAAATTTTGCAATCTCTGAAACAAATTGCAATGTGCTAACATGCTTTAACTTTCGAGCCTGGATGTGGGCTTTAATTTGCTACGTCTTGATAAAGCACCATGTGCAGCCATCTAAAAGTCAGCAGCGGGAGGTTAATGGCAGTGAACTAAAATAAAACTAAATGTCACTACGTCTTCCTTTTCTGTGAAACCTCCTAAATAGATAAGACGTATTCAGAAAGCTGTAAAATGTGCCCTTTGCTTACCAGGGAAAGGTCAGGCCTGCGCTAACAAATTGTAATAGGTTAGTCATAAATGATCACATCAGCAGCTGAAATATGGTACCTTACATATGTTAAATATTGTTCCGGCAACTTTTCACAGGCGCTCTTTTGCATTATGCAAAGCATCCCAGGGTAGCAGAGCCATAATAATCAAAGACAAAAGCGTTTTCAGAGCAGAGTGGGAGCCTAGGAAAGAAACTATCCCTCAGGTTTATTGTGGCTTCCCCGATAAGCTGATCCGTTCAATTCCAGCTGAAAACAGTGGCTGATTTCTTCTTTTTAGCAGCAAGCTTCTGTTGGTCATTGTCCATTGGGTTTTGGTTTTTTTACAACATTTTTCTATCATTTAACTGCATATGCACTAGAAGTGATTCAGAGTTTGTCTTACTGCTTCAAACCCCAAATAGAAAAAGAAAGAAAAAAAA